GAAGTTTATGGTAGTTTTGGCCATAGGTTATCATGTGTTGTTGAATGCCTGTAAAATATATAATTAATGGTGTATGAGATAGTTTAAGTTTAAATTGGCAAAAATAAGCAAAACTTAGGAGAAATTTTGTGACACAGGTTGAGCTATGTCGTGTTCCAATGAGATTCTTTAAGCCAGGTGAAAAGCTGTGTTATGCGTTCTACAAGTATGGGACGAAAGTGCTAGGTGGGATAGTGCATGCTATGCTGCATGAGTATGTCTGTCTAATCCATGATTTTGTCTCTGGAACGAAAGAGTGGACGTGACTGTATGGGCGGCTGTAGGAAGCGTATGATGAACATGCCTGGAATATAAATGAGACAGTTGTCGGCAGGGATGTATACCCCGTCTGGTACATGAAAGTGAAATGTGATAAGTGGCCAACCAAGTGAGTTTCCCAGAAACATCATGAACTTATGGATGAGTAGTGGCGTTTGTTGATGATATGATATGTGCTTAGTTGTCTGAGTAACAACGGATTGATGACCCTGACCATGATTTACCCCATGCCACAGCAGCTGCTACAATGGGGTAGATCTCCCAAAGGGGCTGAAGTGGTGGAAAAATATCAAAACCTGGATGCCATGGCCAACAGCCCCAAAGCAATTGTTCCCGGTAGATCGCTGCCAAACCTGTGGTATACGCTGCGTCTGACCATCTGGTTGGAGAAGTGTCAGACAATCCTGGAAGGAACATGCTTTTACCATGCCAAGTGGTTAAGAAATCCCCCCCCATGTGCAGGTCTGCTGTTGCTGAGGTGTCTAGGCACCTCCTCTGATCGTCATGTTGGAAGTGTGGAAAAAAGGGGAAAGTACTCTGGATGTGAAAGCGTGGTCTTGTGGTATGATTGGCATGGCAAAATTAAGGAACCTGTTAGGGATTGTAGTTCCTTGTAGTTGTAAGTACTAAGCAAGAGGTAGTGATTGATTTAGTTGAGAATGTTCCCTATTTGTCTTGTGGTAACTTGCTGTATGGATGCCGACTCAAGTCATATGCCCAGTAATGTGATGATAGTGTCTGCGCCTTCTGTTTCTTATGGGGTACTGGGACGCCCAAGTGGTCAACCAGACTAAGCTGCCATGAGGCTTCTAGTGAAAAATATGCTTTCTTTGAGCAACAAGAAGTCTTCTAGATAGTGTATGACTGTAATGCCTCTGGATATGTTATCATAACCAGCACAGAGTATCTGCGAATATCGATAGTAGGTTAATCTGTAGCTCGAAAGTTGAGCAGGGAAAGGATTGCCCAATTTATGCCATGTAAGTGCCAGTGTGTAGGGTAGATGGTAGCTGTTTACTGCGTTGATGATATTGGTCTTACTTGACCAAGCTTTAACCCATGCTTGAGTGATAGCTGTAAAGGTAGATCAATGGTGTTGTATAGTAAGAAGGGAGTTGAGACTTGGGGTAGCGGAGGTGTGTGGTGCCAATAAGTCTATGGTTAGTCTTTGTTTAAGGGAAGATTCCTTGTGACAATACCAATGTGTGTGTTTGGTGCCATGCTGTAAATGGTGGAGATTGGAAGACCACTCTGCAAATCTTGGCTATGAGTGTGTTTTCAGCCAATGGTTTTGTTGTGCTGACTGTAAGTGAGGGCATGCTATATTCCTTGAAGGTGTGTTTATGATACCTGTATGGGAGCCCTTTGAAGCTCCAGAGCTTTAGTAAATCTACTACAAGTCTGGAAGGGTGATGAGTCACTAGTGTTGAAAATGCATTGGTGTGTACAGATGGTGAGTACGTTATTTGTAAGTTGTATTGGGCCACAT